TAATAAAAATAATTGGGAACAATTTCTTTTTTACTTTCATGTTCTTCAAATTGTCGTTAACCTATGTAAAAAAAAAAAAGAAAAAGAAATAAAATAAATATTCTATTAGCTCATTGCACGAGAATGATTTTCATTGATAATATTTCGAATTAATAATCGTGTAGGGATAAATATGTGAATTAAAACAAGACAAAAAAAAGGATCATTTTCGTTAAGTATCGCGGGACGAGGATCACGGGATCCAACTGTCGATATAGATTGCACCGAACGACGCGTCGCGACTATTATTATTATTATTATTATTATTATTATTATTTATTTATTATTTATTTATTTATTTTATTTTAATTTTTTTTTTTTCGTAAACCGTAATTGTGAATTTAACGACAATCATTAGCGGTACACGCACGTTTACAATCATCCTCACGATAAATAATTAGTTTTTTGCGGCGTTTGAAATGGTTTTTTTCTGTTTTTCCTTTTTTTTTATTTTTCTTCTTCCATTCAACCATATCTCTTCTCTTTCTCTCTTTCTTCCTTTCTTTCTTTCTTTCACATCTAACGATAAATCTGCTTTTTTTTTCTTTTTTTTTTTATTATTATTATAAAGGGTCTGTAGTTTTGCTTTTTTTTTCCTTCTGGGCACGATAGCGAGACGGTGGTGATTGATGACGGTGATGGTAGCAATGTACTCGCGGCGATGCCGGGAGGCAGCTTGGACGAGGGAATGAGGAGGGTGCTGGGGAACAAGGGGGTTGGTGATCAGGAATGATGAGGGGAAAATGGATGACGATGACGCGGGAACGGGCTTAGGTTAGCAACTGAGTGCATCCTTGCTTTAACGTTTACGAAACTTCTCGAGATGCTTGTAACAGGAACAATGATGCTTGAAATTTCGAACAAAATTTTGTCTTTTTTTTTTTTTAATGTTTTTATATGAAGAAATTAGGATCGTAATTAGAGGAGAGGGGGCATGAATAAGGAACGTCGATTTTGTAAAATGAAAAAAGGAAGTGCATCGCTTCGGGATTGTATTATCTTTTTTTTTTTTGGTTTGTTTTGTTTTGTGGACAGTGATAGCGAAGGAAGGTATACATTTTGTTGTTGTTGTTGTTTTATCCCAAAATTTTACACACGATCGTGACTGCTGGTGCTTGTTGTAACTTTTATACTTCGCCATTTTTTTGTTGCCATTTTGCGTTATCGCATTTTTTGTTTAAACCCTAAAAAGAAGACCTTAACGTTTACACTCAATAACTTGACTTTTTTTTTTTTATTTTTTATTTTACGCGCGTATTTATTTTACTTGTATTTTTACTTTTTACTTTTACCTTTAATTTTACTTTTTTACCTTTTTTTTTTCTTCTTCTTCTTCTTCTTCTTCTTTCCATCAGAGAGAAATTACACCGTGTTTAATTCTCACGCCTTATTATTCATTCTTTTTTTTGTTTATACTTGGTTTAATTTTCCCTTTAAATAGGATAAATTTTATTTTATTTTATTTTATTTTATTTAAGTTTAGTTCCAAAAAACACCGAGAGAGTAGTCTTGTTTACATTGTTTACTTTTTTTCGCATAAAGGGTAATAACTTTTTTTTTCGTTTAATAAGGAATTTTTGCATTTTTTTAAAACACCAAACATACATGCCTTATACTTTATATACAGCCTAAAGTCTTTCAGTCGTTACGCTTCATTTTATTTCGCTTGTTACTTATTTTTTATTTTTTTTTTTAATTATTTTCATCTTCTTCTTCTTTTTCTTCTTCTTCAACTTTTTCTTTCGTTTATTTTGTTTGTTTATCTTTTATGGTTTATTTTTTTATCCCCCTTTTTGTTTCTTGTTTTTATTTATTTTTTTTTAATTTTTTTAAATTCTTTCTTAAAATAGTGTCATGAGATGAGTGCATGGATCGTTTTCTTCCCTTTTTCTTTTCTTCAAATCTTATAACCACCGTTTTTCTTATCTTTCTCACGTTCACATACGTTTTTTTTCCGTGTTTAATTATATTTCTTTCCTTTTCTAAATTCTTTATTATTTCTCTATATCCGATATTCCTCCCTCTATCTGTCGTCGTTTAAATCGTTAAGCGAGGAAAAACGGATTCGCGATATCTACGTCCCCATAATATGTCATCACATTTTTTATAGCACTTCTCCTATTTTTGTTTAAAGAAGTCTTTTAAAATCCCACCCTAAACTTTGATTTTATCTAAAAACCCGTAACTAACTAATATATCACCCCATTGGTCCAACCGATCATCGTTTATCTTACGAAAAAAAACAAAATAAAAAAGTAAAAATAAAAGACGAGAAAATGTCGACAGGAATGTCATTAAGTATTTTGTTTCTATCCAAATATCCGAATTATATAACTGCGATTATAATTATGGAATTATATCAACGAACGATATCTCATTTTTTATTTTTATTTAAAAAAAAAAAAAAAAAGACATCGTTTCTTTCTACGAGAGAATCTCCTGGATTAAAAAATATAAAATTGTTTTTGTTGATTTGTTTCTATTTGTGTTTCCCCCAAAAAATGAAATATCTAATGTAAACTTTATATGAAACGTAGATACGCTCCTACGCCTCGCATTCGACATAATAATTCATCATCATTATCATTATTATCATCATCATCATCGTAATCATCATCGATATCGTTATCATCGATCTGCCTCCATCTTTCTTTATTTTTTCATTATTTATCGTTACTCGTGGAACCCGGTGAAAAAACGAAACCCTAATTCGAGTGAGATCACTATACAACAACAACAACAACACCATATAACATTGACGTTGTTGCTGCTGCTGTTGCTGTTGGTATCTCTTCCTCTACGTAGTAGAAAATTTGCATTCGTATCAAAAAGTGTTTATCGGGCGTAATTCGCGCTTTAAGAAAATGGTTTCTGCACTTTGGTATTACATAGAAAGATCCCGAGTCGAGAGCACGCGTCACCTCTCTTTATAATAATTCCATTTCTTCTATTTTTTTATTTTTTTTTTTTTTCATTTAACCCCCCCAATTTTCTATCTTTTTATATTTCGTAACTTTGCATTCTTTTCGTATTCTATGTTTCTAATTTTTTTTTTTTTTAATAATACTTTGCCCGTTCGTTAAGAATTTTTCATTAATCGTTTGCAATTTTTCCATTCCTATCACCACGAACCTTTCTTTCTTTTTTATTTAACGAAAATTCAAGGAACCCAATGTCGAATCGTCAGAAGGATTTCTTATTGGATTCGTCATATTTTGAAAAAACAACAAAAAATATTATTCTTTTATTTTCAAAACTTACTCCTTTGTCTTTCATGTTATTTTATTTTTTTCCTTTCTTTTCCTAAAAAAAAAAAGGTGTTACTCTCTTCATTCTTTTTTATCTCTTAACAATAAAAACGCCTCGAGAATACCCTCTCTATTTTAATAGCTTGTTAAATATTTCCAGGATATCCGTATTCCGGATGTCCTCAGGAAGCACCATTAATGTCACAGACTATAAAAGGGTATCCTCCTTTGGACAATATTTCATCCCTTTTATTTTTTTTTCTTCTTCTTCTCTCACGCTCGTAACGCTTTTTTTCTTTTTCATTGCATTATTAATCTTAATTAGAATAAAATATCACGAAAAAAAAAAAAGAAAACAGAAAAAAAACTTTGCAAAAGACCAATTTTATTAGAACAAAAAAAAACAAGAAGAAAAATTTGACGAAATCCTTTTTAAAAATCCTTCCATTTTTTCTCCCCATCCAATGAAATTCCTTGAATTAAATCATTCGTGTGTGTCCCCTCCTCCCCCTTTATCATTTTCTCGATCATTGCATTTATATTCCAAGCTAAACAACGTGTCTCGTAAAACGTGGGATGATGCGTTAGCGTCGAACACCGGCCTTAAAGAGAACTGAGATTAGAGAAATATTGTCGCCTTGTGAAAAAATGTCACCTACGTGCGCCAAAAAAGCCTTGGCTCGTTTCTCATTTCGCATACGTCCGTAATGACCAAAAATATATGTATATATATATAATATATCATTCCTTATATAATTATGCTCCTTACGAGTTAAGTAATGTTAATAGTAGGTAATAAGTTTTTTCCATTAGGTAGTTTTACATCGATAGAGGAAATAATTACGCTTGTTGTCGTTTGTCTTATTCTTTTCTTTTCTTTTCTTTTCTTTTCATTTCTTATTATTTTTTTTCTTTTTCTATTTTGTTTTGTTTCATCTTCTATCATCTTCATCTTCATCATATTATCTCCTTTATTTTAATCTTCATTTATCATTATCTTTGTTTTCACCTAAAACGCATTTTTAGCTAGAGCTCTCCTTTCGCTTCGTCGATCTTTAATTAAACGATTGATCGTCTTATAGATTAGTATACGGCAAACGGGTATGCTTTTTATTCGCAACATACCCGAAAATGGAATCCTAAAAATGTTAAACGCGTATGCGGATCTCGTATACGCGTTGCCTCTACTACGCTGCTTCGTGTTCCCTACTATAAATTGTATTTCTTCGTCTGTATTAGTGTGTTTTTTTTATATTTTTATTTTGTTGTTGTTGTTATCAGTGTGTATCGTTCACCGATTACGTTTGTATTCCTCTCTGTAAGCGTGACGTATTAATGGTACGTGTACGAAAGGATACTCGGCATAATGTAAGTAAGTAAGTAGTAGTAATAGTAGTAGTAGTAGTAGTAGTAGTAATAGTAGTAGTAGTAGTAGTAGTAATAGTAGTAGTAGTAGTAGTAGTAGTAATAGTAGTAGTAGTAGTAGTAGTAATAGTAGTAGTAGTAGTAGTAGTAGTAGTAGTAGTAGTAGTAATAGTAGATTAAATCGTATCGTGTCTTTTATCAATACCTTAGAGTTAAGGGTCTGTTCCGAAAATTCATTCGCATGAAAAAATCGCCACACTCGAAGGATTTCCACCGATAGCATATATGGACCACATACACCGGGGGATTGGGTGGGGATGGGATCGGTCGATCGAGTTTTTTCTTGTATTTTTTTTGAAAAAATTGATAGTGAGTTTACTCGATCGATATTACCCGAAGCGTTATTTTTCTCTTACTGATTTTTTCACTGATCTCTGTCATAGGAGAGTCCAAGAAGAAGAAGATTAGCTTCTTCAAATATCTATAGTTTTCGAACGAAGTTCGGGTATATAGAGGGAATGTGTTGGGGGTTTGGGGTAAGTGGATAGTCCTTGTATTACGTCCAAATAGTCTTCTAATCTTCGTCATTGATCATCCTAATCGAATCGTCGAATTGGAATGGAACCATTTGCGATAAAGGACGAAGAACGGAATTGAGAGACATGGGGGTATATAACTACAGAGTTATTCGAATGAATAAGGTTTTACGGTATTAACGTTCGAAATCGATTACCGTTACCATAATTCTATACCTTATTGATAACTGATACTGACTTTCGTCTACTGCTCTACGGAGTCTTCCATACCGATAACAGGTCCACGTTGTTCCGCCGGTTGTTGGCTGTTGGTTTGTTCGCCAGACCTGCTGCTGCCAGTATTGTAACCCCTTTGCAGTTGCACGACCAAACCGCTTACAGCGGCGTATTCTTTCGGCTGTTGTTGTTGTTGTTGTTGCTGCGGTTGTTGTTGAGTCTTCTGGCTCGAATGATCTACTATAAGCTTACTATCACAGGCACTTTTTTTGTCAGTTGTTACGGCATAAAGATTGTGTAAGTCCGGGTAATGATTCAATTGTTGTTGTTGTTGTTGTTGTTGTTGTACGAGAGTACCACCTCGATCTTCCTGAGCTGCACCGTTATGAATTTCGCGTTCTCTACTGGCACGATCTAACCTCGATTCGCGAGTACTGTCCTCGTCCCTGCTTCCCGCACGAGATATTGAAAGAGGCGTTGGTGGTGAGGTCAAACGATCGCTACCATCATCGGTACGAGCCCTTTCGGAGGGCGAGGGACTGAGATCAACGGTGGGTACCCTCTCTGGTCTCTCTGGTACTCTATCGAGTCTGCCGGAGGTTCCCGATGGTGGTCCCCTGTAACTCTCATCTTCGCTACTATCTTGCGTTATACGCGACAACGGTGTCCTCCTCGAATTCCTACAGAGTTGATCGATCAGGGCTTTGCCGCTCATCGTTTCTGGATGTTGTTGTTGTTGCTGTTGTTGTTGCTGTTGTTGCGACGAAGTCGACGACGTAGACGATGAAGACGACGTTTGTTGCTGTTGACTCCTGGTCTCGTTTAAGACTCGCTGGTCCCTAGGTATACCGGTCTCGAGACTCGATCTTATAAGATTGTCCAAAAAACTTCCATTCGCCCCGGTACCATCGTAAAGGCTTTCTGTCAATTCTCTCGGCGTCTTAGCGCTTGTAGAATTTCTCGCAGTTGATGTTCCAGGTGTTTCCGTTGTTGGCACTGCCGCACCACCCTCTCTTTCTCGTTGCGAGTGTTGTTGATGCGGCTGTTGCTGAACTATCGCTGCGCTTCTTTGTTGTTCTTGCAGACCACGCATCCTTTGCGAGGCAAAGTATTGCTCAGGAATCATGGTCGGTACGTTAGCGGCACCCGGCATGAACGGCGAGGGTAAGAAGGGGGCAGGACTCCAAAAGTTAAAAGGTGGAAAAGGTAAATGCGGCATGCCTTCCATGAATGGCATCTTCAGCCCGTTAGGACCAGGTATTCCACTGGCCGGGGTGAACGGTTTCTGAGCCTTAAGCGGGGCCTTTTTGTCGGTCGTACCAGGTCTCATAACTGCAGCTGCGGCGGCTGCGGCTGCTGCTGCGGCCGCTGCTGCTGCCGTAGTTGTACTCGTTCCGTCTTTCGTCTTGTCATCCGGTTGCTTCTGGTCCCTATAAGTGAGAGATACATAGGGAGAGGGAGGAATTTCGGCTATAGGGACGCAAGCAAGACTCTTATAAGAACGAGTATTAATTGATCAATAAGATTACCTCTTGCGTGGCCTCATGAGGTGGCGTTCTTTAACTTTGTACTCGAGAGTGGAATGCGGCACGCCATAGTAGCTACCAGCTCGATGAACACTCATCTCGCCTCGTTGGACCGCGCGCACAGCTTCCACAAGGCTATCTCTATCGTAATTCCTATACTTTCCGCGTTTCGGTCTAGTTCCCTTACCACCGGTGCCGGGTTTAGGCTTGTTGGCGTCCTGATTTTGCGGTTTATTCTGTTGTGTTTGCTGGACAGGTAGCGCTGGTTGAGGTGGCGTATAACGACCTCTTTTGAAAGGACTCGGCTCAGGCATCATTTGTTGCTGTGACTGGGCCACGTTACTACCTTGACAACCCGCCAATCCGGCTGTAACACCACTCGCCTGTTGACCTTCTTGGAACTTGACGCTTATACTCTTCGCGATGACTTCTCGAAAATTAACGGGCACCGCCTTGCCGACCAGAGAGTTCGTCGGGCTGCTCGTTCCCGAAAACGCGGGGCTAGCGCGTTCCAAAAGATTTGGACTCGAAGCCGTTGCCGCAAATCCCTGAGCGAAAGCAGCCGACGTCGGTTCGCCGTTCTTGTTACTCGAACAACCTGGCGTACTCGCTGGCTTGTAGGACGGAATCTTCAATATTGCTCTACCTTGAGCACTATCGCTCGCTTCTTCCTCGATGCTCGGATTAAAATCGTCGTTGGTTATCGGTGCCCGTAGATGATGCGCTTGTTGTTGCGTCGTCGATTGCACGCTCGTTTGCGACCCACTTTGTTGATGCCCACCTACCCCCGATCCCGGATGATGATGATGTTGATGATGTTGATGCTGCTGTTGTTGTTGCAGATGCGGTCCCTGTCCTTGATCTCCGTTAACGCTCTTATTCAACCTCTTGTCTTCGCTCATTAACCTCCTCATCACCTCCGGAATGCGGTAATCTTGCGTTTCTAGTCCTAACAATTAGAATTACCAATTAAATTATCCTAATCTCCAATATGGACTTTGCTACGATTGTCTTACCTTTGAACGGTGCAGCAGCGGCCAACATTTTTTGAATGTAAGGACCAATGTTTGCGTGTTCCAAACCCGGCCATTCCTGACCCACATCCTGTCCTCGCTGAAGCAGAGTCCTCAGGGAATCTCCACCGCTACCTTCGAGTGCGGAAAACCTTACTAGGTCTTCCAACGACAACAAAGGTTTCAGGAGTGCCTTCTCCACCTCTTTTTCCTCTTCCGCTCCCGATAGTTCCTTCTCGTCCACCTGTTGAAAGATTCCCTTTTAATATTTTTCGTCAATCCTTTTTCTCAATGGAGAACAAAAATTTGTGCCTGGAGTAAAATCCCCCTCTCGAGGAAAGTATAGTAGTATTCTTGCTCTCTTTCTCTTTCTCTCTCTCTCTCTCTCTATCATTCTCTCTTTTATGTCCTATCCTTATTCCCAACCCTATTACTTTCTCCCTTTCTATCTTAGAAATCGTAGTGAAAGTATTTACCCTTTGCATCTCATCAAATCTTCCTTACTTATATTCTTTTTTTCTTTTTTGTTAACTCAAATGTATTTCGTCGAGAGGTATGCTTACTTGTTTCGTGTACGTGTCTCATTGTATTTTGTATCAGTATTGTAATTTGTCTCTATGTACGTTTATGTTTTATTAAATGCAAATAAGCCAAGCATCATGCAAAAATTGTCAACGTGTAAATGTTCATTTCGATGAAGCAACAAGGAGTTGATTTAAAAAAACAAAGAAATAAATATTCATTTTGTCTATTAAACGAAAGATTAATTTTGTAGTTTTCTTGCACGCGATCATAGGTCGTTAGAAATTTAGAAAAATATCGCGATAACGAGTTGCATTCGAACCGAAAGAATCGAGACTTACCTTTCCAATATCATTTGTCGCATGCAGTTAAACGTAAATCGAGAATAATTGAATAGAATTAACTTTTTGCTATTAATAATAGAATTCCAAGTAAAATATCATACAATGAAAGGTTCTCTTAGTACATGCAAATTGTTATTTTACGATTTCGTCAATTGAACCCTTTCGTAACAGCATGCATGCATTACTACGAATATCGTTGGTGTGTAGGGGTATATAAATTCGCATGGTATGCAACAACCCTTGTACGGGTCGATGATATGCATGAACAACCCGTATATTGATCGTTATTAGCGAAATAGTAACAAAAAAGAAAAGAATAATCACAGAGCAGAAAGCTTCGCGGTTAGTTTGAATTCATTATCATAGCCGATTTCTTTCTTTCGTACATTAACAAAAAAAAAAAAACCAATGGAATCTTCCCAAAAACTTACCTCGTGCCTTGAAACCTCGCGAACGCCGAGTGGCCGCGTGTTAAACTACAAATAGTGAGATAAACAAAGTTAAACAGCCCATGCAATAAAACATTGGACACTACCGAGCGTCACGGCGATCGTTGAACAATCGCACGGATCTTATTTAAAAATATTTTTTTTTACAAAATGTTTACTCGTTCTTTCGGATGAAACGATCTGCAAAAAGAATGTTTTTCTTTTGAATCGTAAGAACCGAGCGAAATACTACGATCGCCGTGCAAAAGAGGTATGTTTTGGGGAAGCTTGTACGTTCTTCCTAACCAAAACCACGCTTACTGATTTGATTACTGATAAATCTTATCAAAAATTCTTTCACACTCTCGCATCTTTCTTTTTTTTTTATTTCTATCCACCTCTCTCGAAAAAAAGATTCTTTTCGCGACAGGAATACAAAGAGATTAACGTGTAATTTGATTAAAGTGCATTGTCGTGCAATTTGTGCTGATATTTTTTCTGTTTTTGGTTAAACTTTAATCATATTTTTACACAAAAAAATAAATATTCTTATCGATAAGATAAGTAAAATATTAAACGTCCCGTTCATGCACAAACATCGGTGAAATAAAATTGTCTTACGTTAGTTAGTAAGAAAAAACGAATAGTAGCTATTCAAATATAATTGTAATCTAGATCAAAGGGTTAAGGAACAGAATCACAAACGAAGCGAAGTATCTTTCGGTCGGTTTCCTAGCAACATCTGTAGAATCTCTTACGTCAAGTTAAATGCGTTCTAACATACGAGGGCGTCCTCTTTCTCATAGAATAAGGGGCGAGCGAGCTTTTGCAAGGAGAATAATTAAACAAAAGAGATATTCGTACATTTGAAAGAAAATAATCGTAGAAACTGTCCCCCCCTCCGTCTATTAAATGATTCCATCATCGTTCTTTTCAAGAATAAACTAATAGAAACATTTTAAAATAAATAATCTTATGTTATCGCAAGTGAATTCGCGAGCTTTCTTCTCTGTTCGCAAAAGGTTTTTATCGATAAACAAACAAACAAACAAATTGGATCAACGGCCTAATCAAAATTTATCACGAGACACCTGGGTGTAATATGTTATCAATCATTCTCTCAGACAGACAATAATATTCGAATAGTGAAATCTTATTAGATTTCTGTCCCCAAAACCTACCTCGTCCACTTGCGAGGGCGGAGTGGTCGCGTTTTGGGTCGTATTTGGTGGTGTTGTAGTAGTGATGGTGGTGGTGGTGGTGATGGTGGTGGTGGTGGTGGCTTGGGCGCCGGACTCGTGAGGGTGTGAATGGGTGCTAGAGAGGGACGCGTCCCTTTCGCGCTCCATCGCAAGCTTGTAGACCTTGTTGCGTAGGGTGCTTCTTGGTATCCCATAAATCACGGCTGCCCTTCGCGTGCCGAGTTTTCCACTCTGTATATCTCTTAGGGCCGCCTGTAGTTCCTCCTCGGTGTAAGTCTTCCTGCTGACGCTACCCCCTGCACCCACCACTGTCGCCGCAGCTACAGCCGCTGCCGCTGCCGTCACTGGCACGGCAATACGCGGTTTCGCGCGGTAACACGAGCTGAAACGGATATACAACACCTAGTCTAACAAACCTTCTCCAAACTTTCCAGGATAACAACCTATCGATCTCTATCCCTCATCCCCCTTCCCCCAACCCTCCAACATCAGAGTTGCCAAAGTCCTTTCAACGTCAATTCTATTCCGCCGAGTATTCATTTCCGATGATTACGTAACTAGGATTTAAAGAGAAAGAGAGAGAGAGAGAGAGAAGGAGAATTCGGATCAAACAAGTTTGCAATCTGCCTATGGCAACAGGGCCAAGACTACCAAGGCTTAACCGTTCGGCTGGATTTCGTAATCAACTTAGTTGTAAGGTTATATTTTCTTTCTTCTCTCTTTCTCTTCTCACGTGTTTACATATCTCTCGTAACGTTAATTTTGGATGTCTGGATCGTATTCAACTGTCACATGTCTCTCTAATCCCCCGTACACGTGTTTATCGTTAACAAAATTTATTCTTCTTATCGTACGATTAATTATTATTTTATTTTTTTCAACGAACTGGCTGAGACAATTTTGGCCTAGCTGCTAATCATAGAAATATCGAATTTTTCGTTAAACAACGAGGATAAAATTATTAATCGTGAATAATAATTATATACCCCACCCGATGACGAGAGTTTACGATTGAAGCCCCTCTAACAGAGTAAGTACTTGAGTTCATCGACCTGCTGACTGCTTCGTTGTCGTACAAACAGATAAAATTGCATTTCGTTCGTCGTAAAAAGCAACGTAGCTTTGTACATTTTCTTCGTGAATAATTTGTTTGTAATGTAGGATTTACTTTAATTGAATAAAATGCAAATTTTCCAATGGTACTATACTCGCGTGCAATTATTACATGAAAAAAAAAGGGATTTCCCTGAGGAGAAAAATATGTCAAAGATGTTACATTGTTTCGATGATAGTGTGAAAAATCTCAAATAGAAAGATTCATCGAATTGAAATTTAACCTGACAAAACGTATTCCAACAATTTAGCTGATCTTAGGTATTAAAAAAAAACATGAAACGTTTGATCGAATGTTATAAATTTCTTCGGTAAAATCTAATTTTCGACTTGTCACAGTTTTCGTTGGCGGATTATCTTATCGTGAAATTGCGTCGTTAAGCGACTGGATTGTTTCTCTTTCTCTCTTTCTTTCTTTCTCCCTCTTTCCATTTAACATCATACGCGACATAAGAAGCGAGGTAGTAGTACTTTACACTTTCTCTCGATGTGTCGGGTGAGGTGCAGATTGCGACTGAACTAATAATAGAAGACGATAAAAATTTGACGCGCAAAATGTTACGCGGGGGAAAAGAGCGAAAACACGAGGGCAACGTACGGCTTTGAGTCGTAGTCGTTTTCCTTCCTTTTCTCTCTCTTTCTCTCTCTTGTCTTGTTACTATTCTTTTACCATCATCCCATCCCCCGATATCCCTCTTCTAACCCGCTTCTCTCTCTCTCTCTCTTTTTCTGTTTCTTTCACGAGAATCTTTACGGATATATCAGCAAACGAACGCCCGAGAATGAATTTTCCTTTTAAAGTGACTTACTTGAAGATGCTCTTGGTGTCCATACCCGGAGGCATCCTCAGAGGTATTTTTTGTTGTTCCAGTGGAGATATGTTGTTATCCTGTAACGAAAGAAACAACGATACATTATTAATTAATGACGAACAAATGTTAGAGAAAAAGAGTGAGAGAGAAAAAGATAGGGGGGAGGGAGAAATAGAAAGACAGATAAAGAAAAAAATAAAAGTAAAATGTGAGAAGAAAGAAGAATCAAAAAAAAAAGAAAAAAAAGAAAAAAAAAGGAAGTAAAAAGGATGAAAGAAGAAAACCTCGAGCGGGGTACGGCTCTCACCTGAGAATTTTTCGGTTTCGCCGAGAGATCGAGTGGTTGATCGACCGACGTGGCACTGTCCTGATGAGCCTGTACCCCGACGAGAGGTGCCTCTCTTGGTGGTAAGCACCACTGAGGCAATAAAGTCGGGTAAGTACCGCTGAGAGCGGCCGCGACGACGGACGCCGCCATTGGGTCGACTTGGACCGACATCGGTGACTCCACCGATCGCGAACTACTGCTGCTGTCGCTCTGTGGACTCTGAGGACATCGAACGGATCAATTTTATATTTATTGTAATTTTTTCTTTTTTCTTTCTCGATGGATTTTCTCTAAAACGAGTAATAGTAGTAGTAGTAATAGCAAGACTTGTCGGTAATATTTTTCCTCGGAATCTTCTTGATAATAAATATAACACCCGGAGATTCATAAATAATAAGTCAATTTAACGATCAAAGTTAACGCATGGATCAAAAGAGAGAAGAATCACGAGAGGATATGATAGCCTACTAGAGAGAGCCAGCTAGGTGAGAAAATAAGATTGGCAAAGACGTCCATCGCTTTTTTTTCGTATCGCGTATATATGTATACATATATATATATATATATATATATATATATATATATATATATATATATATATATATATATACAGATATGAAAGTGTAAATCTTTCCCGAGGATGAATGATCGAGGACTTCGATTTTCGATTTACGATATACGAATGTGTTCCAAAGAAAAAAAGTAAGTAATATCAAAGTGGGTTACTTACGAGCGGCGCTTGATCGTCGTGGGGCAGCTTGCCATCGAGGCAGAAGTAACACTTGTCTAAAGGCTTCCAATCTTCGGGCGGTGGACTCGTACGTCTACTCGCTAGAACGTATGGCGAAATGATATTTTTCGCCGTTATTTCAGCAGCCTCGTTTGAAATGACACCACCGCCAATGCCAACGCCAACGCCACCAACAACACCACCAACAACAGCAGTCACCCCACCAATTTTTCTGGTCCCTTCTAAATCGGTCGTCCTTTCGATTCCTAAACTACCACCACAACCACCACCACCACCACCTGGCACCTCCTGTAACTCCTCTTCTTTTTTAACTCGTAGTAAAGCTTGCGTCACTGGTATCCGTTCCAACGCGAGCTCTCCTACCCGTTCCTTTGTTAAATTAAAAAGAAAAATTTCATTTGAAAATCGACTGATTAGATTAGAAATAAAAATGATAAGGAAGAATAATAGTAGATATATATATTTACCTTGGTCCCTTCCGCCGCGTTATTGTCGTTCGTGCCGTTGGTAGCCGAAAGATTGGCAGACGATCGTTCAATATCCGTTCTGTGAGGACTACTGACGGACCTATCGACGTTCTCGTCGAGTTTCAACCGTTTTTCCGGTTCCTCTCCTCCTCGCGTCCTCGAATCTTCCTCTTCGTTTCCTTCCTCCAACTCCTCACCGTCGTCGTCCTCCTCCTCGGCGTCGGCTTCCTCTCCGTCGTTTTGTCTTCTCGCCCGACGTCGTCTTCTCGACGAGACCAAATTCGCCGATGCCGTGGTACTCGCGACGCAGCAGGTATTCGTCGTTGTGGTCGTTGTTGTTGTCGTGGTTGTCGTAGCGGTTGTTGTTGTCGTCGCCGATGATAATGACGACGACGTCGTTGTCGTCGTCGTCGTACTCGCGGTACCCGTATTCGTCGTTTGCGTCGAGTTTGTCGTCGTCGTTGTCGTCGTCAACGTCGACGTCGTACTCGTCGTCGTACTTGTCGCCACCAAATCCGCTGTCCTCGCGTTCTCTCGTACGACGATACCACCACCACCACCACCACCACTGCCTTCTACGGATTCTTCTTCGTCCGCTTCGATCTTTATTTCCTCTGGTCTCAAACGTCTTGATTCTTCTTGCTGTTGTTGTTGTTGCTGTTGTTGTTGCTGCTGCAGCTGTTTTTGCTGATAAAGTTGATCCTGCTGCTGTTGCTGCTGGGTCAACAAGGACGGCGTATGGAGATGAGAGGGGGGATGACGATGATGATGATGATGATGATGATGATGATGATGATTTTGAGGATGATGCCTCTGAAGAGAAGATACGTCTTGTTTGAGGTGACCGATCGTGGGTACGACGGTGGCCGTGGTAGCCGTGGAAGCAACCAAGCTCCCAGGCACTCCTGCCACCCCCGTAGCGACCCCCGTCGCTACCCCCGTCGTCACCCCGGTTCCCAGACCCGTCGCTAGACCCGTTGCAAGAACCGTCGTAGCTCCTGCTGGCGTAATTGTCGGCGAAGACGCCGGATGTAATAGGTGACCACCACCGGGCGGCCCCCCGATTTGGCCCAGATTTCCGAGCACCGGATTGCAAGACGATGACAACGTCGGATAAAGCCGGTGGAGGGGCTGGCCCGCTGCCGCCGTCGTCGTCGTCGTCGTAGATTCGCTGATGCGCGTGCCGCTGTACAGGGTGTCCTGATATTGCTTCCATCTCCTACGGCCCATCAACTCCTCCGCTACTCGTTCCAGACCTGCGACACCACCGCAACTACATCAAACAATGATGACCGCCACCTTATATTCTAGCCCTGCTTATAAACGATCTTTCCCAACGACATTTTTTTTCTTTTTAAAAATTCGCATTAAAATATTTCCGAATATCATTGAGTATAATAGCTTGCTCGGAGGAACTCTTACACATTGGATAGAGTTAATTTTACTTTAGATGATTTGCCGCGAGTGCCGATAAAGAGAGAGAGATAGAAAGAGAGAAAAAGAGACCGATAGCAGAGTTCTTTTAGCAGTTTTCTTATCGAAAAGCCGAATAGTCCAAGCCGTTATCGCAGCGACGTGACGTGTCATGTTGCTGCTGCTGCTGCAAGCAATGCAACGTCGAACTGTAGCGCGTTGCGCTTTCGCCTCCGTGATAACGGTTATTTAATTGTCATTATGAGACCTTAATAGGACGCGATATTCGTTACTTCCTCTTGCCTTTGGTCGCTGCTTTATCCCAGCACCGCGGCATCATGCATCTAATGTAAGATATAATAACCCAGACTATTCATTTGTATAATAATAGTACGAAAAATGATAGGTCATTCCGTGACTAATACAATCATTTCATATACTGATAAATATATACCCCATTATCGATAAACTAAATTTTGTTCGGAAAGTTTTCTTCGCAAATGCATCAAAACGCGCGCATTTTATTTCTTCTTCCCCCGTTGGGGTGTTTGCTTGACTCCCCCGATACACCCCAAACAGAAAATCCGCATCAATTCGTATGATGCATCATCGAATGAGAGAGACGCGTGCATACGTAAACGCGCTTGCGCATCATTTCATTCGCGGAACCGAGTCTGATGTTGCACACACGCATCAATATATCCACGGACCTGACACACACACATACAAACAAACACGTATACACATACACAAGAATTTCATCGCGTGCACGCGTGCAGATCGAAGCGATTTTTCATGGCTGCCGCCTTTATTTCTCGCTAAATTGATTTTGTCCTTCTCTACCCCCTCCCCCTCCCTCCTTCCTTTCTCTATCTCTCTCTCTCTTTTTTTCATGCGCGTACCGCTTTCGTTCCCTCCCTATGAAATACATTCGCAGTCATTAAGGGCGTATGTAACCCCCTTCATTCCCGTCATTTCAAATGTAGTAAACTCCGATTTTATTACCAATCCTAAAAACCCCTGAAAATGCGTTGTAAATACAAATATTACGAAAAAGAAAAAAGAAAAAAAATCATTCGACGTGTTACCTCGAATATAAGTTAATATTTAAACAACGAGTATTATACATAACGAATAATATTTTTAATCTTCCAATGAGGAGACAAGAAAATTATCTCCTATAACAAGAAAAGGAGAAAATAAATATATATTTTCGATCGAAATTGAAAAGAGGGATCGGGGGGGGGGAGCAAGATGAATTGGTGGAAGAGAAAAAGGGTCAATGACACCGACAAAAAAATAAAAGAAGAGTAAAAAATAGGAGGAGGGAGGGGGAAATAAGATAAAAAGAAGAAGGTATGAAATAAAGTACGACTAACAAGGAGCCTTTCATTAGTGAATTTCTTGCGAATCGAGCGTGCTTTCTATTCTATGCTAGCTTTAATGCGACCTCGACCTATTCGACGACGACGACGACGACGACGACGACGACGAGCCTGTGCTTGTGCTTCCTCTGCCTCTCTCACTTTTCTCCCACCTTCTTCTATCTCGCTATTTAATTCATTCTCTATCTCTATCTCTCTATCTCTTTCTCTTTCACTCTTTAATGCAACGTAGAATACCACTCTTGGAAGTTTCCCGACGAAAAGATAAACGCGCGAAAAAAAAAGAAAAAAAAAAAAAAAAGCCTCGTTGAAATCTCTTTCGTACGATCTCTGTCGATCGATCTCTCGATCGATCTTACGAACGTTGTAAACGTCAATCTTGAAATGGTTGTTTTTTTTCATTTTTTTTTCTTTTTATGTTTTTATATTACGATCGAATACCCAACGTTCGATAATCGAGGCAGGAAAATTTGAGGTTGAACGATATACAACATATATTAACGTGTGTTTAGATATTTCCTCTCTACGTTTGTTTGTAAGAATAACAATAGCATCTATGTATATTGTAAAAATAATAGTATTTACGAATAATACTATTGAACGAGTATGCTCGAAAAGATAATAATTTAGCGTTCACCAACTGTTTAGTTTATCGTAATTGAGCGATAACACTTTACAAGCTTGGGTACCACGCTTATTTCTTATGAAAATCGTTCGCTTTTCAAAATGCAATAAAACATTCATGAAACGTAATTTTTATCGCGGCTTTTAAAACGACCTTATTCCTACCAAGGAATCGTCTAACTCTAATTAAAAAAGAAGAAACTTTAAGAAAGTTATAATTAGTTTATTTGTATAGCAATTGTGTAACGCGCGTGCATGTGTCATCGATCTTGTTTTTTTTTTTTTTTTTAATTTATTTATTTATTATATCAACGTTCTCTTTTTGATCGATCATTTTCAATGATTTACGAACGAATTATCAATTATATTTTGCAACTACAATTAAATAGAGAAAAATATTTTCTTTTTTTTTTTACGAAAAGAAGAAATACAATTTTAATCAGAAAAACAATATTTATCAATACTAACATAATTTATTTGGAAATCTCGCGTTTGATATTATTTTTTTTTTTTTTGAAAGATCTATTCTCGTCGAACGAATATGATTGTTAGATAAAAGGAAAAAAAAAAGAAAAAAATTGAAAAAATAATTCCAAAAAATGTCTCGTTAATATATGGCTCGTTAAATATTTTCTTTTTTTTTTTTTCTTCTAACGTCGTCAACGTCAATGACAACGACGACAACCGACCAACGGGAGAGTAGACCGACGCGTAGGAGAAACGACGAATTAACGTGTTCCGAGTTCGCGAACGCGCATGGAAAACATCTGAATAAATTATTATTGTTTGTCGAACGTTTCGAACGAATGGCGACGACGCCCATCGCTCTGACCCATCGCCGGTCGACATGCAGGACATTATTTAAACGCTCTACTTCCATGCAGCTTATCAAATACACGGGTATAATAGCACTTTACGGAAACGCGAAACGAATGATCCAACCAACCAACCAACCAACGATTACCGACGACTAACGTCGAAGAACGTCAACCGTTTCTTTATTCATGTCTTTATCAAATTGAATTTCTTTTACCAAATTAATTCAATTAATTCACACACACACAAATTACAAAATCGGACGGGTTTTTTTTTTTCTTCCAAAACCATCAACATTTGATACAGGAAAATAATTTTTTTGTTTTGTATTTTAACTTGTTTGTGGAATTATTATTGTCCTTTTTTTTTTTTTTAATTGATAATCTTGAGAAAAAAAAATTGAACAAAGTCTTCTACGAGCTTATGCGAGAAGAAGCCAATAGTATTCTTCTTCTTCTTCTTCTTCTTCGTTGCAAAAGAAGGACGCGTGCGATTCGTTTGCAATTAGCCGAACCGCAACGCGACAAGAATTTTTTTTTTTTTTTCTAGTTGCGTTGTCGTGCAAAACCGTACAAACTTCAAGGTCCTAACAGCACGATGAATCAGAAAATAAAAAATAAAAAAATATATCTTTAACCGGGAGAACAGTAGTGTCGAGGTTTCGACGAAATCACGATTCACATCAAATTCATCCATCCAACCAACCATCCATCCCATCCCATCCATCCATCCTTCTTTCAAGCTATGTAGTATATTATAATGACGCTCAAGTTTCTATGGTGATCGTGATTCAACAACGTTTTCCTTCGTTTATTAAACAAAAGGTGTTCTCTCTCTCTTTCTCTCGCTAACAATAAGTTGGCGACGGAATGAGACCGACGACTGCAAATGGCGATAATGTTACGTCATTATTATGTTTTTGAAAGGGGTAGGAGTGGGAGGAAAGATTTATACATCGAATATATGCACATTGTTTTCGCAATAACATTTTTTTAATACACGAACGAGAATTATGATTAATGCTTAACGTTCTATGGAATAATACCGACGATCGAAAAATTTACTAAACGAGAAAAGAAAAATATATGTATGGTATATCGCGTGTGTAAGTAATTTGTTAAAATTGTTGATAAAAATTGTGTTACTTTGAAGAGAGAAAAAGGGAGAAAAAACGACAAGAAAAAGAAAACTTTAAATGATTAATTCGCATTGGATGATCGACGTTCGTTGTTAAAATTACAACCTACGATGATCATCAAGTGTAGTGTTCGACGTTAGATTATATTTTTTTTTTTTTTTTTTTTTTTTATTCAAGACCATAACTTTATCTACGAGTGACCGCTAACAACTATTTTTTTTTTATCGATATGAAATATAATTTTATCACAAAGGCAATATGTAAATCGTTTTTTTTTTTTGAGTATAATCATCAACCGAATAATATCATTGTTTGTTTATCGCGAGGTTTTTTTTTATTTATCTTTTTTTATATATTATATTTTATATATTTTTATATATTTATTTTTTTATTATATATTTTTTATTTATTTTCAATTTATTTAGATTATTATTAAATATTTTTATTATTTTATATATCTTCTGGTTTTTTTCTAATTTATTGCAAGTAGAAAAAAAGAAGAATTTAATAGATTATAGAAAAGTATCATTTTCGATCTTTGATTAGCGACTATGAATCGGTAATAGAAAAGAAACAACCCTAGTAGCACAAAATATTGAAAAATATTGAATACATGTGTATTTAATATTACAAAGAGATTCAATGTCTTTTTAATATTAAATACACATGTATTCAATATTTTTCAATATTTTGTGCTATTAGGAAAAATATAAGAGATTCGAATTAGGTGAAAACCGGTATCGAATATATTTCTAGCGTGATCTGAGAAAGAGGGGAGGAAGGGCTAGTAAGAAAATTAAATATAATATAGATTGAAAGAAACGATTATCCGGATGATTCGTAGGGAATTTCAAAGATGATAAGAGAAAAATATATAAAA